CCTGTCATGGATCCTGGAAGACACGTGGTCATTTGATAGATGCTACTGGGGAAGGGGTCACAAGCCCCGGCCCCTCCCTAAGAATATCTGGTCTGTTAATGGATGCTATGAGACAGTTTCTTCACTGGTGTAGCTACCTGTGAGTTTCCCACACTACTGTAAGCAATCCTAATTAACTCCTTGGTTCACCAAGCTAGACTTGAGTAGAACCATTTCTTTGGTTTGTACCCTGTCTGAATAGACAAGATAGCTGTCTGTTCATCTCCCCAGGGAGAGTTCACAGAACATTTAAGAAAGTTTATGCTTTTGTTTACTTGTAGGATGAGGAAAGGCTAACATTTTTTTTATTTTCTTATGTAGCCCTTTGAAAATACATAATGAAGAATTCCTCAAAGATAATATTTTTAACCTTCAAAGTCAAAAAGAAGCCTCAGGTCCTAAAGTCAGTCACTAGACTGGAGCTGAAGCCTGATTCTGCTACTTGTTTGCTATGGAACCTCAAGTGAAGCTACCCATCAGCTTTGTCATTGGTAAAGATGACTACATCTCTCATGAGTAAAGATGAAATGAGCTAGTATCAATGACAGTGATTGGCCTGAGGTAACCAGGAAAGCATTTGGTGAGCCAGATAGCCACAGAAAGAGGAGCCAAGTAGACAAAGGCTTGGTTAACCACATCAGAAGCACTTGGGGATTCTGGCCCCCACTGGGGAGACCCTGGTGGCTCCTAGGAGTCCATCTTTTCCTATATACTCTCAGACTCAGTGGGACAGCTAAGCTTGGGAGATTCTGGCACAGAAGAGAACGCCCCAAATTTGGGATAAGAAGGTAAGACAGTGGTTGTATCAGCTATGACCCAATGTGGGATTTACCTAGGATTTTGTTTTCTCATTTGTTAAATGGAAAATTTCTTAAGGCTTATTTTATGTTGTGTGACTGTTTTGCCTGCATGCATGTCTGTGCACCGTGTGTGTGCCTGGTATCTGAAGAGGTATATAACTGCCATGTGGGTGCAGGGAATCAAACCCAGTTCCTTTGAAGGAGCCGCCGGTGATCTTAATGGCTGCACCATCTCTCCAGCCCCCAAACTGAAGATTTAAAATCAATCCGTTCATTCAATTGTTGTGGGGGTCAAATGGTTGACATCATTTCTATGGGGAGGCTGGCTTGCTGGGGTGAATAGGGCAAAGACTTCAGAAAGGCAGGGATCTGGCTGGGTACCTGCAGAAGACAGTCTGACTTGTTGGGACTGTACCCACTCCATCTTCTTCCTACTGAAACCCAGAAATTTTCTGGGCTACCACTGTGCCAGGATGAAAGGACTCCAGTTCCAGGCCAGGTAGATAGCTGAGTAGGCAAAGTGCTTGCTACGGGGAGCCTGAGGACCCAAGTTCAACCACCAGAACCCATGGTGAAGGAGAGAGCTGATGCTGAAAAGTTATCCCCTGACATCTACCCATGTTCTGAAAAGTTATCCCCTGACATCTACCCATGTTCTGTGGCACAACATCTGCATTCCCATACGCATCACACATACATAACAATAAATAACAATTTCAAGTACTCAGCTTCCCAGACTCCCTTACAGTTGGGCTGGCCATGTGACACAGTTTATACAGGAGTCAATTAAAGGGTGTTGGGAAGGCTCTTGCTTCCCTTGTTCTGTTTCTCTCCTTGTCTTGTCTTCCCATCTTCTTACAGCCTGGAAGGTGGATGAGGGGCCTGGTGACGAGGCAGGCTGTCTTCTTGTCACGAGTCCAAACATGGGTGAGAACAAGCTGAGTGTGGCAGGGCCCTGCGGTGACGGGATTACAGGCTCTCTCTGCCATCACTGAGCTCTGGGTTGCTGTTCCCCTGGCTATCTGATGTGAGACAAATGAGTTTGCCTCAGGCAGGGGTGAGTTTGTGTTAGTTATCTGTACCGCAAGGCCTCACAGAAAGAACTGGAAAAAGACAAATCCTAGAAAATGTCCCCACAGTGGACATTCATGTATTGCCTCCTTTTCTCCACCTGGTTATCACTCTGAGTTTATACAGACAGACTTCTAAATCCAACATCCTACATCTTAACTTTCCAAAAAATAAAAAATGTTGTTTGTTTTGTTTTGTTGCATTGAGAGCCACGTGCATGCAATCCCTACAGAGGCCAGAAGAGGACATCAGAGCCCTGAAATGGAGTTACAGATGGTTGTGATCCCATATGCTGATGCTGGAAACTGAGCTCAGGTCCACTGAGCCATCTCTCTATTCCCCATTTTCTTGATTATAAGGTGGAAGAATTAAGAGATAAAGAAGCTCCCTCTGGGACCAGGCATAGTGGCTCACACCTTTAATCCCAGCACTTGGGAGGCAGAGGTAGGCAGATTTCTGTGAATTCGAGGCCAGCCTGGTCTACATAATGAGTCCTGGGATAGCCAGAGCTATGTAGAGAGACCCTGTCTCAGAAAAAAAACAAAAAACAAAAAACAAAAAAACAAAACAAAAAAAAACTGGCCTCTGGGGCTAGAGAGATGGCTCAGCAGTTAAGAGCACTGACTCTTCTTCCAGACGTCCTGAGTTCAATTCCCAGCAACCACATGGTGGCTCACAACCATCCGTTATGAGATCTGGTGCCCTCTGCAGGCATGCAGGCAGAAGACTGTATACTTAATAAATAAAATAATAAAATCTTTAAAAAAAAAACACTGGCCTCTGGCATAAAGGAGTCAGAACAAGTTCAGTACACTATATCCTAATCAAAGTAGATGTTAAAGTCTCCATGTGCCATTGTAGGGAGAAATGTAGATTCTCAGCATCCTTTGCCTGGTGGCACATACATTTGGGGGTGGGGCTCAGTGTTGGGTGCCATTCTTATCTAACCTCAGCATAGCTTTTATAGGATTAGGCTAGTGACTCCCCTACCTCCAGGAAGGCACATGACCCATCTAGAGCTGATCCCCTCCCTAGCCACTGCTTCCTACAGGTCCTGTTGTCTTCCTTGCACAGCCAGTTTAATGCCTTTAATTCTGCCCCTGCTTCTTTGCTGGGTCCAGTTGCATCAGAGTCCTACATCAAAAGCCCTGGAAAACCTCCCAGGTCAAAATTAGCAAACACAAAGGAACTTTTCTGCAAAAGCAAATGTGTTCTCCCATATTCTAAAAAGCTTGTATGGCAATAAAATAAAATAAAATCTTGGGCTGGGGAGACTGTCCAGGTGGTAAAGCAGCCTTTGCAAACATAAGAGGCTGAGTTTGATCTCTAAGAACTATGCAAAAATGGAAGGCATGGTGGTATGTGTGTGAAATCCCAGTGAGGGGGAGGTGGGTGCTGGAGGAGGAGGAGGATTCTGGGGTGTGCTGGCCAGCCAGTTCTTGCCTAAACGGTAAACTCTAGATCAGTGAGAGACTCTGTCTCAAAAAAGGTGGATGGCGTT